CCGGCACTGATCCTCCTCTTGGTTTCTCGCAGCCCCGCCTCACTGGACGCCCACATCTTCAGCCACCTCGCTCCCATCCTGAACGCCAAACTCCCCAACAACCGGTTACAGCAGCACCTGAAATCCCTGAACAACCTGTCCCAGTACGTCAGCTCCATCCTCAGCATCTACTTCAACATGGACGGCGGTGAGTACCTGTCATGTCTCATCTCTACATAAAGGGAAACTGCTGACACCTCGATTTCCATTTGGGTGGGTCAGACTTTGGCTGGGGTCTCTCAGGCTGGTGTTGGATTCTAGAGCCAGAGCAGACCTAAACCTAAAATAACCATAGTATACAGTGATGGGAGTGAGACCCCTCCACTAATGGGCGGACTTGGGAACTCATGTGGTGGAAAAGTAAGCCTGGTAGTGATTCCACCTGTCTGTTCATTACTCACACCATTCTTTCTGCGTCCTCAGAGGCCCTCCCTCACCTTTCACCAAAGTCCCCAAAGGCTGAGTCTCCAGACATCGATGACGAGCCCAATAAGAGGCGGAACCAGATCCTGTCGGTGGCGTTTGGGCTGTTGACGATGGTCAGTTATGCTCTGCTGAGCGGAATAATCTCCATACAGCACGCATCGAGAGGGGTTGGGGCCCTGGAGCCGCCCATTGCTATGGAAGACAACGATGAAGACGAAGAATGATTGGAATCTTATTGGCTGCCTGCATTCCGTACCGGATCCTCCAAGGCCCCCCCAATCCAGGATAGATCCCCAAACCGCACCAGATCTCCCCTGCAGAGCCAGGGTATTAGCAACCCCCTTTACTATGGGGCACTACTATAGCAAGTCTCCCCACTAGGGGGCGCCACTATAGCAACTCTCTCCACTAAAGGCGCCACTATAGCAGCTCTCTCCACTAGGGGGCGCCACTATAGCAGCTCTCTCCACAAAAGGCGCCACTACAGCAGCTCTCTCCACTAGGGTGCGCCACTATAGCAACTTCCTCCACTAGGGGGCACCACCATAACTGCTGCCACGTAAGTGCCTTTATCCCATCTGCACCACCAATAACTCCTCGAACTGCCTGCGCGGCGTTTTATTCCCCAACACTGACTGGTAAATTTTCCCATCATTCCCTGCGTCTGAGTGACTCCCTTCCTACCACAGACTGACCTGGTGTTCAGGTCCATCCTCAATGCACTTACATTGGTTTTGTATTAATAAAGCAGGGCACTTCTTCTCCGAAGCAGGGTGTGCACCTCCTCCAAGGTGATATTGAGTATTGCTGTATAGTAATCAGAATCAGGGGGCGCCGGAAACAAACAGGCAGATTCCTGTCACAATATCTGCCCTCGGGGGGCGCTGAGGTTCCCCTCCACCTATTCTGTATCTAGATTTGCATTGTGGCCCCTGATGAATCTGCTGTGTTGTTTATCATCCGTAATGTGGCATGTCCCTTCCTCCCATTAAAGCTGCAGCATGTCACCATTTTAATTCACCCTGTGGAAAACCAATTTTTGAACTCATTTGATTCTAAAGGGTTTGGCAATGACGATGGAAAACATCGGGGAGGGGGATGGGAAAACATGGACATTGTTTATACAAAAGTGGTTAAAGCGTCCAAATTAAAATACACGAATGTAACCTGAATCATCTTCCTGTGATGGGAAGAGACTCTGTTCACCGCTTTCCTGGACCTCTGTCTGAGAGACATAAATCTGCCTGGTTGTGTTCCCGGGAAGCTAGATCAGAGTAAGAGGTCATTTACGGCTATTCCGCCTGTTTATTGGCCGCACGCCACAATCTGCTCAGTGCTGCACCTGACGATTAGTTTCATCATCGAATAGTCGCCGGATTATTTTATCGATTTTAGTTGCATTTTAAAAAAATCTCTCTCCTTCCTTCCCTCTCTTCCGCACGCCACAATCTGCTCAGTGCTGCACCTGACGATTAGTTTCATCATCGAATAGTCGCCGGATTATTTTATCGATTTTAGTTGCATTTTAAAAAAATCTCTCTCCTTCCTTCCCTCTCTCTCTTCCCCTCTCTCTCTCCCTCTCTTTCTGCCCCCGTTTCTCTCTTGCCCCCGT